CATGCCTGGAGTGAAGATGGTCACACCTCTCGGACATCTTGACGACACTGGTACGGAGGAGCTCTACCTCGGCCTGGAGGTTGACCTCCGCCGACGGTCCCTTCTGGGAGGTACCCTCCTGAGAGGTATTGCGCTGGGCATCGCGGCTATCCTCAGTAGGCATGGCTGAGTATGGAGTGAAGAAGAGGCGACGGGGCCGGATAGGGGAAGGAGCCAGCTAGGCTGGTAGAGAAAAATGGGTTTTAAGTATGGACTTCCCACAGACGGCGCCAAACTGTTGATGCTCTTTTTCGGAGAGGGTCAACTTAGAGATAGGGTTGTCCTTAGCAAGAGAAGGGCCTGGGCCTTCGGTAGAGGGCTAGCCTGCAGAAGACAAAGATAGAAAAAGCAATCGTTAAGCTTCGGACACCGGTGTGGTGCCGGCCGAAGGCTCTCCGATGCCTGAGTCAGCTAGGGGTAGTGACTTTTGCAAAGTAACAGTAATAGTGAGAGAGAGAAGTTACCCTTTTTCTTGGTTACTGTTCCTATCTTTGTGCAAGTTGCTGTGATGATGACACGTGTCTCCTGTGTCTAAGGTTTGGCAGTTTGGAGCTTCGGCAGGTGGTTGTCCCTTCGAAAGAGCATCTCCCTTTGGCAGGGAGGAAGGCACGTCTACCTTGGTGTTTTAGTCACGCTTGGTTAATTATGGTGTAAACAGTATATACCATTTCAACCAAAAAATGGTTGCTCAAAGAATCAAATTCAATTGCCATATAATTTGATTTTTATTATTGAAATCTCAACAGTCACATGGCTAGTATAAGTACTAGATATCAGGCATTGAACATGTTTCTGCATAAAGATCAACCATAAAGACCATAAGAGCATAAATAAGAGACTCCCAGTAATTATCGTGACAACCACCTATCCATAACATAATGTTCGTAGTATGATCATCTGTTTGGCAAGACAGTAATATAACAACAACGGTTTTCCCTGCTTTGGACTAGACGCATACTTAAAACTAGGGATAACATAGTGTTCATAGTATGATAATCTGTTTAGCAAGACAGTAATATAACAACAACAGTTTTCACTATTTTGGACTAGACACATACTTAAAAACTAGGGTTGGGAGGTGAAGTGAGGTACGCCTTCAAGTCTTGGAAGGATGCTTCGCACTCTTTATCCCACTTGTCTTTTTGTCTCTTCTTCAAGGCATTGAAGAATGGTTTGCACTTGTCGGTGGATCTTGAAAGAAATCTATTGAGAGTGGGTGGTCTACCCGTCAGACTTTGTATCTTTTTCATTGTGGCAGGCGACTTCATGTTGAGGATGACCTTCATTTGATTAGGTTGTGCTTCGATGCCTCTTTGGATGACTAAGTGTCCCAAAAATTGGCTGGATGAGACTCTAAATGTGACTTGCTCAAATTTAACTTCAAGAGGTATTTTCTGAGCACGACGAAGGCTTCGACAAGGTTCTTGATATGATTTGCTTGCTGGGGAGCTTTGACTAGCATGTTATCTACATAGACCTCCATAGTCTTGTTGATGTGCTCCTTGAAAATCTTGTTCTTGAGCCTTTGGTAGGTTGCTTCGACATTTTTTAGCTCAAAGGGTATGACTTTGTAGCAGTAGGTACCTTCTTCATGCATCATGATTTGATTATAGCTAGAGGAGGTGTCCATAAAGTTGAGCAGCTAGTTACCAGAAGTTGTATCTATGAGCTGATCAATTCTCGGTAGTAGAAAGTTATCACTTGGGCATGCCTTGTTAAGGCCGGTGTAGTCGACGCAAACTCTCCACTTGCATTGGTCTTTCTTTGCTACTAGAATAATGTTAGCCAGCCATTCAGAATAGGAGACTTCTTGATGAAACAAGTAACTAGAAGCTTGTCAATCCCGACTTCAATGATGGCAATTCGCTCGGGAGTGAAGTTGCGTCTCTTTTGCTTTATTGGCTTGCTAGCTAGGTTGACATGTAGCCTGTGACAGATGATATGTGGTTCAATTTCAGGCATGTCAGATGGTGACCATGCTAACAAGTCTTTGTTGTTCTTGAGGAAGGTGGTCAGTTCCAACTTCTTATCTATGCTTAGGAGTGAGCCAATCCTCGCTTTTCTTTCTGGCTTATCAGGATCAATGGGTATTAGCTCAACGTCCTCTTTTGGCCTTCATCCTTCTTAAGGAGAGGCCTCTAGATGAATTCCTTAGCCATGGTCTTGGCTCTTTGATTGCTATTTGGGAATGACTATTCCCTTTCCCTTCTAGTTTGC